CATTTCTCTCCTGAAAAAAGAAAGCTGGATGTATGATGGTTTGTGGGTGCAATCCCAGGGCATGGGAAGGAACAGTGGGGAAGCTAAGGACAGACTCTGATACACTATAGTATGAGCCAGCCTGGGCTAGATGAGACCCAGTTTCAAAATTAAAAAAAAAAAAAAAAAAAGAAGAAGGATCTGAATTCTGAGTGAGTGAACACGGTGACTGAATACCCGCCCCACATTGCACAACCTCTCTTGGCTACAGCATCAAGCAGAACTACTCCTTGCCCTGGTTTAAAGAAAGATGAAGGAAGCAGCCTGTGTCTACAAAGAGCTGGCAGCCCCCACCTCCCAAGCGAGGCTGGGTCATGTTTAAGAGCATCCATGACCACACTTGACAGCACCTTCTAGGGTAGGGCACCTGGAACTCCAGTCTGGGCTAATGTGGGCAGGCAGGGGCTGGTGAGCCTTCTCAAAGCCCACTGACCTCACCACAGATTTATGGAGCTGAGCATGGGCGGGGCTGGGAACAAAGGCCTGGGATTCCTGAACCACATCTTGGGGAGGAGATGGGGTGACCAGGAGTTCCCAGTTACAACATGACCCAGCAAAGGAGAAGACAGACTTGGTTCCTAAGAGACCTCCAACATTTCAAAGGCCTTTCTGAGGTGACCCAGCTCTACCCCAGGAGGTGTATAGGAAACACAGCTCTCCCACACAAGGAAACTTGGGGGGCTGGCAATGGCTCAGCAAGTAAAGGCTCTTGCTATCTAAATTTGGTCCCAGGTTTCACACGGGAGATGGAGGGAATCTACTCCCACCGGCTGTTCTCTGACCCTTAACATACATGCACACGCACACAAATAAATGCAATAAAACAACACAAAGGAAACCGAAATCAGACTGGTGAACAGGCCTCTAATCCACACTTCAAGGAGGTTGAGTGAGGAGGAAAACAAGTTCAAGGCCGGTGTGTGCTACAGAGTGAGTTTAAAGCCAGCCTGAGCGACTTAGTGGGACCCTGACTCAAAAGGTAAAACAGAAGCTGGAGAAATGACACAGTGGGTAAAATCACTTGCTTCAGGGACTGGAGAGATGGTTCAGCAGCTAAGAGTACTTGCTGCTCTAGCAGAGGACCAGAGTTTAGCTTCCATCCACATGCAGCTCACAACCCTCTAAAACCCAGTTCCAGGGAGGCTTCTTCTGGCCTCCTCAGCACCAGGAACATACATGGTACACTTACACATGCACATACATACATGCAGGCAAACACCCTTACACATAAATAAAAATAGCCTTTTTGTTTGTTTTTTGAGACAGGGTTTCTCTGTGTAGCCCTGTCTGTCCTGGAACTCACTCTGTAGACCAGGCTGGCTTTGAACTCCCAGAGATCTGCCTGTCTCTGCCTCCCAAGTGCTGGCTGGGATTAAAGGCATGAAAAATGTCTTTAAAAACAACAACAACAAAACAACCATACTACCTGATAACCTGCATTCTATTTCCCAGAACCCATAAAAGGTGAAAGGAGAACCCACATACCTGCCATGACACTAATGCTTCCCCGTCACACTTGAGTGCATGCTCCTGCTTACACACATAATAACAATAACAATAATCATAATAAATTAGCTGAGTGATAAATGGTGGCGCATGCCTTTAATCCCAGCATTTGGGAGGCAAAAGCAGGCAGATCTCTGTGAGTTCAAGGCCAGCCTGGTCTACAGAGTGAGTGCCAGGACAACCAGGGCTACACAGAGAAACCCTGTCTCTAAAAACAAACAAGCAAACAAAAAATAATAAATTAAATAAATTATTTAAAAAGTAAAATGACCGGGCTGGAGAGATGGCTCAGAGGTTAAGAGCACTAACTGCTCTTCCAGAGGACCTGAGTTCAATTCCCAGCAACCACATGGTGGCTCACAACCATCCGTTATGAGATCTGGTGCCCTCTTCTGGTGTGCAGATATACATGGAAGCAGAATGCTGTATACGTAATAAATAAATAAAATCTTTAAAAAAAAAAGTAAAATGACCAATGATGATAAAGCTCAGCAGTGTCATGCCTGCCTAGAATCCTCCAGTGAGGGGCTGGGGTGTGGCTCAGTGGTAGAGCCCCTGCCTAGAATCCCCCAGTGAGGGGCTGGGGCATGGCTCAGTGGTAGAGTGCTTGTCTAGTATTTAAACTGTACTTCAGTATCTTTAGCCTTGAACAGCTGTGGTAGCACAGACCTATATTCCATTACTGAGAGACATGAGCAGCAGAGTCACCATAACTTTGGAACCAGCCTGGTTTGTCAGGCCCACCTTTTGAGGGATAGGGATGACTAAACAGTACCAATTGTCTAAACAAGGTGGATAACAAATAACCAATAATTAATCATGACTCACCAGGCCCTGGGCTACATCTTCACTTATATGAAGTCACTGGATTCTCATGCCAGCGCAGTGACATCAGCTTTTATTACCATCCTCTCCATTTCCATTTGGCAGAGGGAGAGAGTAAAGAACAGAGAATCTGACTTCTACAGACTCCCCCACTGGGCACAGAATCTGTGAACTCAAGCAGTTTGGTGGTCTGTCAGAGCTGACACACCCAATGAGCCCACCAGCTGTTTAATGTCTCACTACACAGTGTGTGGTATGTGTGGCAGATGTTTAGGATTCCAGTCCTTCACAGGAATAAACAGGACTTAAGGTCATCCTTGGCTACGGAGAGAATCCCAGGCTAGCCTGGGCTACATGAGACCCACTCTCAAAAACAAAAACCAAGAGGCTGGGAAGATGCCAAAATGGATAAAGAGCTGACTGTGCAAGCGTGGGGACTGAGTTTGGGTCCACAGTGTATAAACTGAGGACATGACAGCTCCAAGGTATGGTTGAAGGGAAGGTTTGTTTTTATTGTAGTTATGAGGAAGAGAACAGCCAGAAGCATCTGGAAGAGTCCAGAGCAGAGAGAGAAAGTAGTAGACTGAACATGACCAGCAAATTGGGGTGGGGGAGGTGAGAGAGGAAAGCAAAAAGAGTGGGGGCAAAGGAGACTAAGAGAGAGGGGGTCAAGAGAGAAAGAGAAAACAGGGAGAGGACCAGGAGAAGGCACAGGTGGAATAGGAGGGTTATAGGGCAATGGGAAGCTGGGGCGAGAAGCCCACTAACTGGAGAACTTTAGGGTAGAGGGTGAGATGAGAAGAGCCAGCATTCCCTAACAGGTACTTGTGATGTTGCATGAGCCTGGAGGCCAGCAAGCCGCTTTGGGATGCTAATAGGCACGACAGATAGCTCTTTGTTCCGAGTTTCTTTTGTACCGGACACACAGCACTTATATAAAAGCTGAATCTGGCTAGTCATAGCCCAGCAGAGGCAGGCAGATCTCTGAATTTGAGACCAGCCTAGTCTACAGAGTGAGTTCCAGGACAGTCAGGACTACACAAAGAAACCCTGTGTTTGGGGGAGGGGGCTGAGTGTGGCCACCTGTGCGGCTAATTCCTG